ACTACCACTACCACTACCACTACCACTACCACTTCCACTACCACTACCACTACCACTACCACTACCACTACCACTACCACTACCACTACCACTACCACTACCACTACCACTACCACTACCACTTCCACTACCACTACCACTACCACTACCACTACCACTACCACTACCACTACCACTACCACTACCACTACCACTACCACTACCACTACCACTTCCACTTCCACTTCCACTTCCACTACCACTACCACTACCACTACCACTACCACTACCACGACCACCACCACCACCACCACCACCACCACCACCACCACCACCACCACCACCACCACCACATCTTCTTGTACTACGACGATGACAACGACTACGCCGACGACGACGGCGGCGGCGGCGGCGGCGACGAAGACGACGACGACGACTACTACTACGACTACTACTAGGACTGCTACAATGTCACTAGGACGACTACTTCTATTGCCAGTAATTACTGTTACTGCTACTTTTACTATTGCTATTACTATTACCTATAACCAGGAATTGCTGTCACTACTTGCTGTAGTAGTTGTAGTAGGAGTAGTAACATTACCAGTTTTACCTCTTTTTCTTTCGTCATGACTGTCACCAGTATGTCCCCAAACCTTAAATGCTTGAGGCCGAGCTTTGCGGGCGTGGGCGACTGGGGCGGCTGGGCGATCACGCCTCTTGCCTCGGCTGAGGGTTTTGAGGGTTTATGGCGGAAGGATTAAGGTTGGGATTGGGAGGGATTGTTCAGATATCATTGGGCTTTTCAGATTTGTTATTTGTAGGCGACGTCATCGTGGTGGTTGTGGTGGTGGTGGTGGCGGCGGTGGTGATGGTGGTGGTGCTGATCATCGTTGTTTCATGATTAGTAGTGTTTCTTTTTGAAGCAATCTCAGGAGGAGTAGGAGCTACTGGAATCATGTTGTAGTCGAGTGGGCGTAGAGATACTAGTGCAGGTCATATTATAACATCTAGTACATTGATTCTCTATCCTCCGCCAGCCCGCTCAGGCTTGGAGACCAGTATTCAGATGGAAGCGGCCACTTGGCTCCTGCTAGACTGCCAAGCAGCTGAATTTAAGATTTGTCCTGGTTCTCAGGGTTTCTCAGCACAAGAAGCCTACACTTGAGAAAAGTGGAATTGGCCAGGGTGTGAGCGTTTTCAAGCCATGTCGCTTTGTTTTTGTTGTAGCCCAGTTGCACATCTCTTCCACCAAATTGCACCAATTCCATTTAAGCTATGGAGTATATTTAGTTTGTGTCAGATTTCAAACCCTGCAGGCTGGGTGATCGTGTAGCCCTGCCGAGGCAGTGTGGGGGGATTAGGCTGGTTCTTGTTTTGGCGGGCTCCTCGTAGTCGTTGTGGAGGTTGTGTTGGGGATGCAAAAAGGCAAACCTCATGGAAGAAGTATTAAGAAGTTATCAAGTGGCAGCTGCGGCTCAGGTATGCATGCGCCCGGCCACTCAGATGGGAAGTTCGATGCAGCGCCGGACATCGACCATCGAAATCCGAAGGCTCGAGGAGCTTAATCATTTTTTGGTTACTACCTGGTGCCCAAAGTCAGGTGCAGGAGAGCATCAACATCTGGCTGCGATGGCTTCGACTTCAGGTTCCTGGCCTCAGATGAGAGGGAAGACATGGTGTCGCATTCGATTGTTGAGCTAATCCAACATACAGAGGATTTCAATTCATTCTCCATTTGATTCTGCATCCTTGGGGGGTATATTATCCACGGATACAGTCTTCTGCATGCTAATAGCTGTTTCCATTTTCTTTTCCATTATCCCAATATAGCCCCTATTCAACCCCCATGTAACCCTAATGTTACCCTATAATCCCTATTTAATCCACTATAGTAGTTTCCATTTTCTTTTCCATTATCTCTATCTAACCCTAATATAACCCTAGTGTTACCCTGTAATTGGAAGGGTACCGGTGAGCCGAAGCCGCATCGAGCTGCTAAACGATCAGGTGGGCTTCGATGGCTGGCGCTTTGACTTCGTGAAGGGCTATGGTCCGGAGTTTGTTGGCATCTGGGTCGCAAAGCACAATGGCAGCACACTTTTTTGAAGAGTAGTGGAATGACTCAGGACAATACTGCACCAAGAGCCACCCTGCCTGGGCCGTGGGCGAGCTCTGGACAGACATGCACTACGACCACCATGGGCTGTGTTGGGTGCTTACTGCTTACTGACTCGTTTGCAGGGCTTCGAAGGTTTCAGGTAAAACATGGCTTCAGGCTACAACCAGGACAAGCACCGGCAAGCGCTGGTCGACTGGGTAAACGCAACGGGCAAGAAGTCCACTGCCTTCGACTTCACCACGAAGGGCATCTTGCAGGAAGCATGTCGGCTCACGCAGTTCTGGAGGCTTCGGCTTAGACACAAGCTTGCAGGGTGCTCTGTTTTGTTAGGTGTGGGGTGCGACATCATGGGTCGAAGACTTGTGGCATCGCAGCATTGCCCAAGTATTGAAATAGCACAAGACATTCAGCCATTGGATCCTTCCTGGATGGACTCAGTAGAAACGACCTCAAGCGACCTCGAATGCACAGAAACTGTTGATGGCCAGGCTACGTGACTCCAACGGCAAACCACCTGGTTTGATCGGTTGGCTCCCGCGTTGGGCTTAGCTCTGCTTGATCTGATTGCGTGCTACTGTAGGTTGTAGGGGGAAACCTTTAAACAGCCAAGGGGGTATGCCGTCACCTTCATCGACAACCACGACACAGGCAGCACCCAACGGCACTGGCCGTTTCCAGACGACAAGGCAGTTGTGGTGGTGCGTGGTGGTAGGGGTGGCGGTGTGGGTGGGGGTGGGAGGAAGTAGTATGGAAGCAGTGGTGTTGCTTGAGAGAGCCCCGCCGCCTGTTTGCTCTGTCGAGCCCTGCAGGTAATGATAGGCTATGCCTACATCCTGACTCACCCAGGACGGGTTTGGCTTCGAGAGCTTCAGTATGCTCATGTGTCCCGGTTGCAAAGAACTTGCAGAAATCAAGTTGATCGCAGGAATCCCATCGGTTTTTTGGGATCACATCATGGACTGGGGCGATGAGCACCGCAAGAAGATTGGGTCCCTGCTCAAGGCACGACGTGACTCCGGCAGCCTGACTGTAAGCTTGTCAAGAAGCCGCAACCATTTGATAGCAAATAAGCTCATGTAAGCTCAGGCATTCCCGTGGATGCCCCAGTCAACATCCAGTGTGCAGATGATACCCTGTACCTGGCCGAAATCGGCCAGCCACCCGCGCTACGCGTCGCACTCGGCCCACGTCCTGCGGGTCAGCCGGACATGACGCCTGGATGAATTTGCTGCGCTGCTGGTCGCTAGGAAGCCACCTCATTCACTTGCGAGCTTTCTCTTGGGCACTTTTGGATCCACCGTGTGATCTCTCTCCTTATCTCTCATGGATCTTGCAGGAACTACTGGACTCATGGGCCGAACGGACACGGCTACCGTGTTTGGGTGAAGCGCACAGCAGCACCGCAGGCGCAGCTAGGGACACGCTTCTGTCGTGCCTCGTTGACGCTTGCTTGCGCGGAGGTCTACACTTCCTTAGGCCCCACTCCGGAGGCCATTGCTTGTAGCTGGAGTCTGGTCACAATAGGCGCTGACCCAGAAATGATTGTATATCTAAAGTGAGATTGATGAATTTTGACTCGTTTGATGTGGTCGTGCTGACAAAGCAGAGCTGATGCTTGGCAAGGCCACACCCTTAGCATCCCGGGCAAACTCTCCACGTTCCAAGAAGGGCGAGGCGAGGCACTACAAAAAGTCAGCTGCATAGGAAGCGATGGCCACTGGCCTTGTGCTTCTGTGAGACACTCATAGTAATAATAGTACAAATAGTAATATTAGTAGTAATACAAGAGTAATAATAGTAGCAATATACTAGTAATAATCTATGGTTTCTTTCAGGAAGGCTTCCGGGTCGGCACGGAAGCCTTGACGGCTGAGACTTTGCAACTGGGTCCTGCAAGGTTGGCAAGATGTCGGTCTTTGGGTTGGCGGTTGGCTTTCCATGGCTGTTAGCCTTCATACGTGAAAGTAGTAGGGGTAGGGTAAATGGCTTCTGAGATTAAGGCGTAGCACCTGCAGTCAGATCTTTTCAGGAGTGCAAGAGGGCCTGTATTGGCGGATGGTGAAATTGGGAACTGCACAAGGGGAATCGCTCAGAACAGAATAGGTAAGGGGGCTTGTAGTTCACTCAGAAGCTACTCGAAGAACGCGTGGATGTGAGGATTCTCCGTGTACGGTGTGTAAAGCTTTTCGAGACAGTGCAGTCATTAACTTCCGGATCTCTGATCATTGTCATGATGCGGGCGTTACTGTAACAAAGTCAGGTTATGAAGCCTCCCTCCACGAAACCCCAAAGCCCCCCAAAATCCTGGCATTTCTTAGGCTCTAAACGCTCCAGACTTTCAACCCTTCATAAGACCGGGGCATAGCGTAGCTTAGATCCCCATACCTTCAACCCTTGACGCCTAAGCCCCTAGCTCTAGCCTCAAGCCCCAGACCCCCAAACCTTAGGGCATTCTGGACGCTTCGGGCGGGCCGAAAAAGGCTTGATTGAAAACAACCTTAAGCCCCAATCTCTTAAGTCCATACTCCAATCCCCAAGGTCATAGAGGAAACTCAATGCCTGGATCCTCATATCCTAAACCCTCATAACCTAGGCCCTAAATCCGGAAGCGTGGGTATTACAGCCGCTCTTACTCTCAGTAGTTATTACTATGAGTTTGCTCTAATTGCTATTATTGCTATTCATGTAACATGGTAGTTTCCCTAAATAGGGGGACCCCAATATAGACCCTAATATGTTATAATCCTTATTATGGGGGGACCCCAAACCCCAAACCCCAAACCCCAAACCCTAAACCCTAAACCCTAAACCCTAAACCCTAAACCCCAAACCCTAAACTACCCCTAATTTTGGGCAAATAGCATATGCGCCATCGTCTAAACTCCTAGTATCCCCCTTAATAAGCCCTAAGTAGTTCCCTATATAATCCCCTATATAGCCCCTTTTAAGGGGTTTAGACTATGGCTCATATGCGACTGAGGAAAATCATGGATTCGAGCCAGCTCAAGAAGTTGCGCGACCGCCTCCAGGTGGGCTATAAGGATGTCAAAGGTTGGAGGGTTTAGGGTTTAGGGTTTTAGGGGTTTAGGGTTTAGGGTTTAGGGTAATAAGGATGTCAAAGTTGGATAGGATCCTGCTTGACCCTAAGTGAGTAGAACTATTGTAGAGGCCAAAGTGCCTGCTGACTGCTTCATCGTCTGACTGAAGTCCACGAAGAATCATACTACAGACCCCAATATAGAGTAAGATTCTACCATCCTTTGGGGTGTAGTATTTTATATAGGGAACATAATCTTACAGGACCGCTACTCAAGTGGTTAGTGTTCAAGGGTTTTGGATGAACCAACATCCAGCTCAGTATAGCATCCTACCAGAATTGCTAGAAAATTTGGTATGTAGGTTGGTCAAGGATTTTTGTCCATCAACGTAGCCACTGCATGACTGGAAGAGCGTGGGAGTTTCTCAAAGTATCGCAACAGCCATAGGAATAGCAGTAGCAGGAGGAGGAGGAGGTGTCGCAGCATCTTACAAGAAACCGAAGGACGATTAGGCTCACCCTTAGCAGTTCTGAGAGTAACGATTACAGAATCACCGTCAACAGTCATGTAGCAAGAACCCGGCGCCCAAGCTTCATGTAGAAGTTCCAAGAAGATATTGTCTCGTTCAAGTTCTGGGGACGTACAGACTGAACCCGAGGCCCTAAGCCCATAAACAAAAAGAATCGATGTGGTTCCTTTCAGGCAATGCTCCAGGCTACGGAGCAAGCCCTGGAAATGAAGAGGAGCCGTTCATGATTCATAGAACAGCCCTGAAGCCTTATTTGAATTCAGGAATTGGAGCTGCCGGTAGCAAGGGGCATGAACTCGACTTAGGGATTTCAGGCCCCAGTTTAGCCGGTAATGAGTTTCATGGGTCTTTCAGGTATTTGGCCGGCTTTGTTGTGGACCCTGCTGCCAGCAGAAGTTTTGAACTGTCACGGGAAATCATGATCTCGAGCTATGGTAGAAACTCCTTAAAGGGGGTGATATAGGGAGTATTATAGAGATCATAAAGCGGGATACTTGGAGTTTAGGCTATAGCTCACGTGCTTCTGTGATCATCCACATGCTTGGTAACCGCACACAGGCAACGATGACAGCCACGAGGGGCAAACAGAATGCATTTGCCTCAGCACTGTCAACTCTGAATGACAGCTTGCTTTGCGGCACCCGTCACTGTTCCTGTTGCAGATTCCTGATCAAAACACAACGACAACCGCAACAGTGCTTGCCAGGTCCCTCCGGTCAACAGACAGTGCACTGTGGAACTCCTTTCTGACGATGCAGTGTGCAGGCGACGCAAATTAGCGTCCAGCTACCTTTTGAAGTCTTCTTTTCAGCCAGCAGTGGCTTTGTTTCGCTACGTGTTTCGCTTTGGGATGGCTGTGAAAGCCACGACCTGTCCCCCGGGTTTCAACGGTACAGAGGGCTGCACTTAAGAGACGCGGAGCGCTGTCTGTGAGAAGCTCACAGAGGTGGAACTGCTCCAGAGGAGAAACGCGCCCAGTTTTGGGTGTGCGCATTCATATGTCGACTGCTGCAACAGCAAAGCACCGTTCCAAGCATTACGTGCATCACGCAGAAGCCATCATGTTATCTTCATTCACTCCTCCTGGCAGCAGCCATGGCACCAACAATGGCTGCAAAAATGTTCATCAATCGCTTCCAGTATTTCCGCAGCATCTAGAACATGTAGCGCTGTGGCTACACGAGAAGTGGCTCGGAGAAGTTCTGCTCTCGCTCCAAGAGGTGCACGGCCCAGGGTTTAAGTCGCTTCCTGCCGGGACCTATGCCGATACCAGGCCACCGCATTTATCATAGCCCTCCGAGTTTGTAGGGCTTAGGATTTTTGACAAGTCGGGCTTGCTTGAGATTGAAAAGGGTTGAGGTCCATCCTGCTCCTCAATGTGGGGAGTGTCAGCTGTTGGTCCCGGCAGCAAAGGAATCCAAGCTGACTTCGGTAAAAGGCAGATGATTCGCAGCCGAAAGGCCTGTAGGATTTGCCACCATAGAGCGCTGAAATCGCGGCGAAAAAGCTGCGCATGCATCTGCTGGCTGCTCGTTTGCGTCCAGACGGTGCTTCGATTGTTTGGCATCAAGCCTGTCAGCCCGATGCTGGAAGGTAATTTCAGTGCTGAAGCGTACATGGCATGGAAGCCCGAAATGATATATCTTTTGCCGCAGCTTCAAGCGCTTAATATGTTCAAGTGCAGCAGCACGCAGGACCTCGCGAGAATGCTCTTTGTAGCAAAAGCAGCAGATCTGATGCGTAAGGTTTGTGGATCGATTTTGCAGTAGCCAGTTTTCTTAATCTTATCTTTTGCCACCCGCCGGCAGCATGCGTGTCAAGAGGAACAAGAACCATCGGCGCATTCTTCGATTCTTCCGCCTTACCTTTGGAGTACAGGACGGGACAGATGCTTCAGAATACTCCTAGCTTCGAGTGAGCAGATGCAGCAGCGGGAACCGACGAAAGCTTGTTTCGCAGATGGTTGTACCTGAAGAGCAGAGGAAGTAGCCCTCTTGCCAGAGCCTTCTGTGAAGCAGGAGCCGTATCATGTTTTGGTGGACGGCACCTTCCTCACCCATGCACTTCAGCACCGCATACACGTGAAGGCAGGGAATTGCGGGTCTTTCAAGGCACAAAGCTGTCTGCAGATTCAACCTTGGCACTTGCAGAGCGTATTGGAAGCAGCTTTTGCATCCATTAGCTCATCATGGGGTTGCATGCAGATCCACTTGCGCACTGGCTAAGCCCGCTGCTTTGTGGGTCTGCTTCATACATCTGCAGTAAACCTATCAAAGAAGCAGTAGGCGAGCATCACTGCTATGAGGAATGGAAGTACAGTGAGAACATTTTTCAATTCCATAAGCAGGCCCTAATGGCCCTACCACATGCAATACCAGTTCGCATCCTTTCGAAACAGGCAAGCAGTTAACAGAGAAGTAGCCTACAATGATAGGAGCAGCTCCCCAAGATGCTGGAGGGACGAGTGACTCCAATGACCACGGGCAGCTCGTCTCAAGTGCTGGAAGATGTCCTGAAATTTATGGCTTGGCTGTGTGTGCGATCCTAGAATAAGTTTGTGCCCGTTGTCCATGCCTGTGCTAACTCCTGGAGGCAGTTCATGTCAGCAGCAGACAGCTAAAAAACCAACTACCAAAAGACCTTGAGCAAGTGTCAACATCTTAGAGGCATCTCCAGTAAATCTGAAGGTTTCTCATGAGCTTTTCAGGCTGCATTCTTGCGGAACTTCGGTCTTTGGGGGATCGGGCCCTCGGGGCAGCGATCATAGCGAAAGGGCATCCCGGCTGCAACAGCTGGGTTGCTGTTAAGGGACTTAGAATAGGCTAGCATGATATGGGTATGTAGCAAACAGCTAGGTTTGCCTATGATTGCAACTCAAGTTGGGTTTCTTCAGACGATGACAGAGAGGTTTAACGCCAAGAAATGAGTGGTTCCCTTGGGCACTGGATATGGTCTTGTCATAGGGCTTAGGTGATTCTCCAAGTTGCCTCGTGGCTTCCACCAAGGTACTACAGGCTGAAATGTGGCCACGATGAGAGTCCCATCGGTGCGTCCAAGTGCATCATGGAGCAGATTGGCAAGACCAATGACAGAAGGCACTTGCCCAGCGCATTTAACTGCTCGCAGCATGTATCCGTAGCACCTGTAAAAGTCGTGGTCGTAGTCAGAGCAGGGCGGTCGTAGTAAGTGCAGTGATGCGCAAGCCAGACACAGTGCTGTTGTAGTCATAGCAGTAGTGGTCGTTTGTGTTTACAGCAGAAGCAGTACTCATAGCGGGCATGCCTTTCATGGTATCAGTGGTAGGTGCTGAGCGTAGGTTCCTGGTGGCAACGCAAGACCCGGGTCTGCGGCGAGAGCTGCGATCCATCCCCGGCATCCCTCTCATAAGGCACGTTGTCTTACCACAAAGCCTTTGAACATCGCTTGAATGATTTGTGTTGTTGCTTCTACCACTTGCTGTTGCTACTTCTGTGCTGATTCTTTGAGTGCAGCCACTAGTGCTGCTGTGGGTGTTGAAGTTCTAATTTTTTCCGTGGGAGATTTGCCTTGCAGGCTGAATGGTCAAGTGCCTCAGCTGGAGGACACAATGTGCCAACGTGTTGTATGTGTGTATGAAGGGGGATGGTGTAGCGGACAGATGCAGCTGCGCAAAAGGATGGTACCCAAAAGTTTTTGCCTCATAGACCCTAAGCTCAAATTCTAGTGGATCTGAACATAGACTTTCAACCCTAATCCCTGCAGGCCTGCAAAAGCCCTGAGCCTTTAGCCGCCCCTGGGTCCAGGAGCCTTCGATCTCGACCCGCCACGTTGCAAAAGAGGGCGAGGACAAGAAGCGGGGCCCCTCCGAATGGGAAAAGCCAAAGCTGCCGGAGTTGAAGGTGTCCCTCTGGAATTAGGGGGTTTAGGGTTAGGGATTAGGGT